GCTTTGGCTGTAGAAAAAGCCTGTTGAATAAGCTTTTTTTTTTCCAGAAAGGGTAAATTGCCAGAAAATGGGTAAAGCCTATTCTTACGTTCATCATTTTGATACTGGCAAAAAAATATCACTAGAAACCATGGCATTGCATTTCTGGTGCCGCAATTAAGTTGAATAAATTCCAGCTGGTAATGAAATATCGAGGTTGGCGTCTTATGCGGGCGGATCATTGCTCTCATCATATTGGAAGTAGCTCTGTGAAATCCGCTTCTGCGGGCCATTCTCCGGACCCAGGGTCGTACTGCTCTGCGAGATATTTTAATCTAATTCTTCCTCTTTTGATATGATGCCGATAGTGCAATCGGGTTAAAAGTGGACTGGGGGGTGGGGGGGAATATGTATGTTTGACTTACTCCTATAGCCACATGCAGAATAATCTCTATACGTCTTTCCGGAGGACACATGAACGCCTTTTTTACCCTGCACTCACTGAATCTCAAGACTCCTTCCAGCAGAATCCTGCCAAATGTTGCGCTGTGGGGGGTGGGGGGTGGGTCGACGTCGCTGCTTGTAATCCCGCTTTTCAGTTAATTTGCCGTGTAACTTTTCAGGATTGCGATGTTCTGGGCCAACAGCGGTTCAGTTGCACGTTTATGTTAGGTATGCGAGGAAGAATCCCATAAGAACCGGGAGAAAACCCCATGAAGGTCCGGTCAGGGTGGGTGGGGGGGGGATGGAGAACGCACAAACTCCACTCAGACATTTTGAGGTGTAATTATAAATGTGTCTTTAAACCAGCCACCACCCGGACACAGCCAGTCACGAAGGTCCGTCACATACACAAAACATGCCAATTCGTTACGTTGTACAGCACACCGGTATGCTGGAGAGTGAACCCGCCACCACATCTGACGTTTCGCCGGCAATTACAACCAGCATCGTCAAATAGTTGTGGGGTTGACTCTTCGACACACCGGTGAGGTGTACTAGTAACGAATCGGCACGCGTCGTTCACGCGACAAACTTTATTAAATTTGGCTGTTGTCGGGTGGTGGCGGGTTTAACGACACATTAATATTTACGCAATCTAACCCAACAGCTAAAGCTATATTTGTGGACATGATTGGTCGCGAAAGCCTCCTACCACTGCTACTACTACTACTACGCGTTAAACTCCGTGAAGAAAGCTGCCCGAGACAGGAGTCGAACCCGGGTGCTTGTGAATGTTACCGCTGCACGCTTCCCCATCACCAACCGCACTGCGTGGTGGCAAGCGTGAGAGGAAGTGTAGTCGAACGAACCGCGCTACTGACGGCGAGCGCGGCGACGATGCCAGCTGTGGGTTGAACGAGTGGCCGTAACAACACGTGCTTCGCCAATTCGGTACCAAACCTCATCACGAACGCTGCACAGAGACTTCGAGCAATAGCCACAATATTCGTGATCATCATGATGCAGTCAGAGGGCGTGCTCATTCGTATATGGTGAGGTACGAGGTAAAGGTGGAGGCCGTCAATTGGTGGAGAGATGTTAACTACCTCGCCCGATATACAGGGGGTCGTGGGTTCGATCGCGACCCTAACGCCGCCTGTATATTTGAAGTTTGCGTGTCTCTCTCCGCGTGGTCGCGTGGATTTTTCTTCGGGCCCTCCGGGGTTTTCCCTCCACATTTTATGATCAACATCACGCGTTCTGAGTGTCTGGCTGCTATAAATGTCCACATGATCATGAGCCACTTCCTTGAGCTATCATTAGTGATGGCCAGGTCGCTTCTGAAACAAAGGCTACGTAAGTCAGCGGGTCCTTACGTGGTAGAAATCAACATCAAATGTTTCAAAATTTTGACTTAAAATTTTCGTGACGGCAGGAGTTAATATTCTTGGTTCTTTCGGTAAGGTCACGTAGATAGGAAAGATTTTTTTTATTTAAATAACGTTAAAAAAACGCCACTTTTTTCTAAATTTTCTTGCTGTGGTTTTCACACCTGATGATGATTGCTTGTGTTGCAGTCGAAACGTCGTGAACATTTTATTGTTTTATATTTTTATTCTTTTATTGTTTCCCTTCTACGTGGTGACTTTACGTAGAAAGAACCAAGAATATGAACATGTTCATAGTTTGTTGGCGGAAAGACCTCCACTAGAGGGAGTTCGAGAAAGAAAGAGAGAGGGAGAGAATGCCTCTTGTGGACAACCCTTCCACGACCGCACAGACGTCTCGGAAGGCGTGGGAGGACCCACATTTCACCCCACCACACAGACGTCTCGGAAGGCCCCACACTTCACCCCACCATACGCGAACTGCGTGCTCGGCTAACTTTCTGTGCGTGCTGGGTTCGCGCTGCTGTGTTGACAACGGCGAGAGGGGTCGCGGAGGGGGTGGGAGGTTTAATAGACGTGCCCATCACCGCCGCGTCGGTAGATCAAACCGTGAAGCAACAACAACCACAACAACAAACACGACCACTCACCAGAAAAGGTAATCGCAAAAAAACCACTCCTCTCTCACAGGACGCAAGGCCAGAGTTTCACCCGCGACATTTTATCGAACAGTCTCAGAAGAAGCCAGGTGGTGATGATGGTGGTGGCGGTGATGGTGGTGGCGGTGGCAAAGGGAAGTCCAAGAGTTGGGATGAAGCCAACAGCGAGCTAAGCAATTGCACAACGACCGGTGTGGCTACTGCTTTTAATTTGTGCCCGCTGTCACGGTTTCCGCGTTCGAGTGAAGCCCCCGCGTGATTCCGGAGGGCAGAGATGTTGCTCCACAACGTCGTTGTCAAACAACCTGCGCAGGTGGTTAGCCAACCTGCCTACGTGCGCGTGATCATAACCGAAGACGTCGGTCGCTTGCGCAGTACGGTGCGAAAGAAGTTCAACATGATATAAACCAAAAGCAGGACGCGGCCGTGTTTTCAGAAAGTTGGCGAATTAGCGAAGCGCGCGTCGGGGGCAGAGTCGCGTGAATGATGAACGTTGTGCCCCCTAGGGACCGTGAAACGAGAATTGGAGAGTAACGAATTAAAAAAAATCGGGGTTTTTTTTTCTTTCTCGCGGCCGCGGGAAGTGAGCGAGTGCGAGGTCCGGACACAGGTGGACAGGTGTGCAGAGGTGAGTCCAGGTGAGTCCACGTGCAGAGGTGAGTCCAGGTGAGTCCGTGTGCAGAGGTGAGTCCAGGTGAGTCCACGTGCAGAGGTGAGTCCAGGTGAGTCCACGTGCAGAGGTGAGTCCAGGTGAATCCACGTGCAGAGGTGAGTCCAGGTGAGTGCTTGTGCAGAGGTGAGTCCACGTGCAGAGGTGAGTCCGGGTGAGTCCACGTGCAGAGGTGAGTCCAGGTGAGTCCACGTGCAGAGGTGAGTCCAGGTGAGTGCTAGTGCAGAGGTGAGTCCGGGTGAGTCCTTGTGCAGAGGTGAGTCCGGGTGAGTCCTTGTGCAGAGGTGAGTCTAGGTGAGTCCGTGTGCAGAGGTGAGTCCGGGTGAGTCCGTGTGCAGAGGTGAGTCCGGGTGAGTCCATATGCAGAGGTGAGTCCAGGTGAGTCCATGTGCAGAGGTGAGTCCGGGTGAGTCCGTGTGCAGAGGTGAGTCCAGGTGAGTCCACGTGCAGAGGTGAGTCCGGGTGAGTCCATGTGCAGAGATGAGTCCGGGTGAGTCCACGTGCAGAGGTGAGTCCGGGTGAGTCCATGTGCAGAGGTGAGTCCAGGTGAGTGCTTGTGCAGAGGTGAGTCCGGGTGAGTCCGTGTGCCGAGGTGAGTCCAGGTGAGTCCACGTGCAGAGGTGAGTCCAGGTGAGTGCTTGTGCAGAGGTGAGTCCAGGTGAGTGCTTGTGTAGAGGTGGGTCCAGGTGAGTCCATGTGCAGAGGTGAGTCCAGGTGAGTGCTTGTGCAGAGGTGGGTCCAGGTGAGTCCATGTGCAGAGGTGAGTCCAGGTGAATCCGTGTGCAGAGGTGAGGCCAGAGACCGCACCCTGTCCGCAGGTGACGACGTAGCGCACACGGCATCCTTGCCAAACCACCGGACATCGGAACACAACGGCGAAACAGTATAAGGCAGGCAACGTTTCGGGCAATGGGCCATTCTTCTTCATAGGCGTATTTTTTTGTTTTTTGTATTTTGCAATTAAGATTTTACGTGACGTCAAAATAGTATTGACAACAACATTATCGGTATCGATAGCATGCACCTGCTAATAACTACACATCTACACATGATCTATGTTGAACTTCTTTCGCGCCCTACGTTACGAACCGTGCTAATCGGAGGTGCGAGTTTAATCCGGGTCGAGGGTCAGTCAACAAACGCTAATGTCAATCCACCGCTGGATGAGTCCGTAGCCGTGGTTACTTGACCATACTTCACCACGCTGCAAATACGGCGATTCGTTCTGTTTGCAGACACTTGCTGCCTGTACGCTCTATAAATAATTGCACGAGAGACCGTGGAAGTTGGTGTGGTCAGGAAGCCACCCGACCGCCTTTGTATCCCCCGGAACACACCGCAGGACAGGTTAAGAAGACGCCGCTTGCCGTCAATGCTGTGCGTTGTTAGGAATCGAACCCAGGTCGCTGGAATTGTAACGCAACATATCTAACCGTCTCTCCACGTGTTCTCACACAAAGACAAAGATCCCCCGTGTAGCCTTACCAGACTCGTGGGCGAAGTGCTGTTAGCGAGCACCTATGAAGGCCGGCACGGCACACGAGGGGGTGGGTGGCCAGCACCACCCCCCGCCGCCTTTGTCTCCCCAGTGGCGATGTTTACTACACACCTCACCAGGTACTCATTTGAGGCCGAGTCGACCTAGGGGAGGGCCCAGGACCGGTTCAGATCATTAATCGTCACCGGTGTTGGCAGCGAGCGGGAATCGAACTCGGGTCGCCGGGTTTCGTCGCACAGCGCACTAACCACTACACTACCGCTCCCCACGTCACACTCATGAGCACTCACACACGCGCTCGTACTTACACAAAAAAATACAAAGATACCCCGTATAGCCTTAACAGACATTTGGGGCAAGTGCTGTGAGCGAGCACCAATGATGGCCGGCACGGCGCGCGAGAGAGTGGGTGGCCATCACCAAACTTGCACCCACGCACGCGCTCTGACTCAGCATTCCAACATTCATGGGCCCACTTGTAACAAAAATACAAAGATTAAGGTCACCCGTATAGCCTTAACACAGTGTTTGGGGCTAGTGCTCGTGGCCAACACTTGTAAACATACGCTCCCACGCACGCGCACGCATTTACACTTATTCGCTCACTCAACTCGCATTAATGCTCACTCTTCACGAACGCACGCGCGTTCACACACCGGCTCACTGACGCACGTGCGCTCGCACGCACGCACACACACACACACACCCCGCCACTCTCTCGCGCGTGCACTCACGCAGACGCATTCACTCGGAAAGCAAACGCTCGCTCGCTTCCCTCCCACACACCTGCGCTCGCACGCTCCAGCACACGCACGCACAGATGCCCTACATGGAAGCTCTGGGCCGTTCGGCCGAGCCGGTCGCCTTCCTCTCCGGTCTGGCGTCCTCCCTGGTGGACCCGACCATCCTCATGCTGGTGTACGAGCGAAGCGGAGCGACACCGGGCAGCCGACACGACGGCACGACGCACGCGGCCTGCGGCGGCAACGCCACGACGCCGGCCGCGGGCTCGGAAGACGACGCCCAAAAACGGGCCTCGCAGTTCTTCATGTTCTACAACATAGCCTCGAGCGTGAGCTCCATGGTGCCCAGCCTCGTCATGGGTCAGCTGGGAGACCTGCTGAGTCGACGGCTGCTGCTGGTGGTGCCCCTGCTGGGCACCTTGTTGTCCCAGCTGCTCCTGCTCTTCGTGGTCGGCGTGAGCATGCCCCTGCAGTGGCTCTACGGCTACGTGCTCGTCTCGGGCCTCGCCGGGGGTTCATCGACGCTCTGGGCCGGGGCCAACGCGTACGCGGCCCAAGCCGTCCGGACACCGCCGCCAAGCTCGCGAGTCGGGCGGAGCGACGGCGATACGCGGGGCGGGGATGGCGACGTCGACGACGGCGAGGCGTCGGAGGGCGCCCCGTTGTTCTCCGACCGCCCGCGAGGCCACGCGGCCGGCGCCGGCTACGGCAGCGCGGCCGCCGCGATCCACGACGGCGGAGGAGGGCCCGGGGGCGGCCGCCGTGACGTCGGGGAGGCGTCGCCGTCCAATCAGGGAACGGCTCGGCAGGGGCGCGGGATTCAAACGCCCGTGCAGCACGGACGCAGCTCGCGCAGGCTCATGCTGCTCGAGCTTTCGTTTGGCTTGGCGGCCACGCTGGGCAGCGTCATCACGGGACACATCTTTGTCAACTTCAGGCTGCCACTTTCGTTCAAGCACGGCTCGTTTTCAGTGCTGGCCGCGATGTTCATGTACACGCTGGCCATTTTCTACTCGCTCTTCGTGCTCAAAGACTTCAGGCCGCAGACGAAGGCCAGCAGGGTAACCCTGAAGGGAGTCCTCCACGTCTACAGATTTGGGATGTTCAAGGTACGGCCACCGGTTTCAAATTATGTTTACACTGCATTCATTTGTGCATCCCTCTTGTCAACTCACTGCTGGATGATGTGGGGTTACCCACGTCGTGAAGATCGAGGGGATGATTTGCAGTGCGGGTTGTTGAAGGTGGTGAGCATACGTTGACGCTTCCAAGTACAGTACAACAACGGACGTTGCTTTACGGGCCACAGCGTAGCCTCACGGCGGCCGTATTTGTAACTGGCTGTATTTAGGAAAGCTCCAGTTGAGTCTCATGATTGCTTTTGAGAAGGGTCCTGCATTGGGATGTGTGGGTTATTTGTGTTTTTTGTATTCAGTGGATTTGCATGTGATAGGAAACCAAAAGTACACATGGGGAAAACAACTCAGAGGTCTCCACACAGACAAGTTACACGAGCTCACTTGTTGTACCGCCAATTCTGCTGGCCATCTTGCAGCACGGCGGATTTTCCTCGCGGCCACGGGAAGTGATCCACCAACCCTTGCCTCCAAAGAGCTGAATCACTGTTGATCAATTGCCACTACATTGAAAACAGAACAACGTCTCATCTTATGCATATTTATAGAGTGCCTTATTCCAAGACACTTTAACATTCTATGTAAGATGACAGTGGTTGAGATCAAAGTGGTGGTGGTGTAGTTACGTGGTCACGGGAGAACAGGTGAGTGTGGTTAAGGAGGGTTGGGGTAGTGGTAGGGGTTGTGGTAGTGATAGGGGTTGGGGTATTGGTAGGGGTTGTGATTGGGGTAGTGATAGGTGTTGGGGTAGTCCTGGTCATAGCTGGGGGCGGAGATAGGAAGTAGCAAGAGGATGGACTAGGGCAGGGGTCGTCAACCTGCACCTCCGATTAGCACGGTTCACTACGCATGGTGTGAAAGAAGCTCAACATGCACACGTACATACAGACAAAATGTGACCTTACCGATTCCCCCACTGATGGCGCTTGCAGCCAGGCGGCCCCAGCGACCAGCGTGCGGTCTTCGCCCTGCTCTTCACCAGCGCCATGCTCTACCAGCTGGTGGTGCGCGCCTTCATCGACTTTCTGGGACTCTTCATGCTCCGCTCGCCACTCTGCTTCGGGCCGGACCTCGTGGGCTACGCCACGGCCATTGGCTGCTGCATCTACATCAGCAGCTTCCTCGCCAACCTGATGCTGTCGCGCTGCTGGACGGACCAGGCGTTGGCCATGATGGGCATCGCGTCCTTCTGCGCAGGCACCTTGGTGATGACCTTCGTCAAGACGATGCCGATGTTCTTCCTAGGTACTTATCCCGCCCCGTCCGTGCATGCGTGCGTCGCTCAGTAATTCGATCCATTTGCGCCGATGTTGAGGACTTGGTCTAACGGGCTTGACTGTTTTGTGTCCCCTGAACGGTGTTCGTCCACCGTCGTGAAGGTCAAAGCACGCTCCTTTCAGCTGCCTTCCTCTCACCGCTTTGCTTTGGAGTTCCCTCCCACCGTTTCGCTTTGTCAATTTCTCACGAGCTCGTTCAATTCACGTACTAAGCTCTCATCTATTGCACCTTCAATCGCGCCTTTTGTCGCTGGCACTTCGGCCCTTCGGGCCTGTGCTCCAGTTTCAAGTTTATTTTGTTTAACTAGCTTCAGAAGACAAGAGATCAGGAGAGATTCTCGTTTGCGAGAGTGACCTTGGACACCAAAATGACAAAAGCAACAACAAAAAGGATTACAGCAATGAATGGCAGCAGAACAAAAAACACATCTTTCACGTGAAACATGGGAAAACATTGTTCACCAACAATTATTTAATATATAACAGTTTTTTTTAAATATATATAATATGATAATAGGGAAAAACCTATTATCATATTTTGGTACTGGCAAAGGAGATCCCAAGATGTAGATGCTCACCCTGAGCTCTCATTACTCTGATAGTGGCATTGTCTTTGTGCTGTTCACCTTTTGGCGTCCTCTGGTCTAACACCGTTTTGAGAAGAGGCTCGAAAGAAAGCCGTCTCTGGTGTGGACCAATCAGTTTCAAGGACAATGCCACATATATTATCAGAGTATAGTCTTGATTTGAAGCTTTCGTGACTGCAGGAATCCATACGGTCTGGTTCTTTCGGTAAAGTCACATAGATAGAAAAAATAATAAAAGAAAACACGACGTTTCGGTCACAACACAAGCGTCCGTCTTCAGGTGAGAAAATTACCTGCTGTTGTGGCTTTATATGGGCACAGGAGGGGGGAGGAAGAGGGGGAAGGAGTTTTGTGTTCAAGCTCACTGGCTCGGTGGTGCTGGTCGGAGATGCAACGGGCCCTATGGTGTAGTGTTTTGATGAGGGAATTCGTTTTGATGTGGGAATTATTTTGGGCTGGATGGTGGTGGGAGTCAGGCTTTAGATAGGAATTCGTGTGGGTGGCTTTCCTAAAGACAGAGTGTCCCAAGGAGCGCGTTGCATCTCCAACCAGCACCACCTAGCCAGTGAGCTTAAAACACGTAAGCCACACTCTCAGGAGGAATGGATATTCTGACCGCACAATCCGCAAAGCTTCATCCCCAACCATGGGTAGAGAATCTTCCGAGGACCCAATCAAAACCATCACATTACCATAGATAGCAGGGGTTACCAAAAGGATTGCCAACATCTTGAACAAACACAAGATCCAAGTTCGGTTCAATACAGTACACAAAATCCGTGATTTGATCCCATCGGTGAAGGATGTGATTCCGGACATGCAGTGTCCTGGTGTCTATAAGCTGAGTTGTGTCTGCGGCAGCAGTTACATTGGTGAAACGAAGCGACGTGTCTCAGACCGGGTTCGCGAACACAAAGCGGATTTGAAACACGGTAGAACCAACACCTCGGCGGTGGTGGGTCATTGTTTCAACGCTGTGGGCACACGTGACATTGATAACACGTGACATTGTTTTCTCCGAGACCAAGGTGCTCTGCAAACCCTCGGGCCACCATCAGAGATTTGTTCACGAAACCATCCAGATATACAAACACAGACAAAACTTTAATCGAGAAGATGGATTCAGATTAAGCAATCATTGGAAAGATGTGATAAACCGCGTCAAGTTTTAACTGCTTTGATTTTCACTCACCCACCCGTGCGTCGTGTTGTCCGATTACTAATTCGAGCTCCTTTACTTGCTAATTTCTCCAGCCCCACCCTTCCCTGCATGTCACAAACCCTCCCCCCGTGAACTCCTACAGCCACGACTCGACAAAACTCCTTCCCGTGCCTATATAAAGCCACAACAGCAGATCATTTTCTCACCTGAAGACGGACGCTTGTGTTGCGACCGAAACGTCGTGTTTTCTTTTATTATTATTTTTGATCAGAGTATGTTTTTTGTTTGCATTCTGATCACAATCATTGTGGTTAATGCAGACATGATTCTTTGTAAAAGCTTTCAGTTTGGTGTTTTAACATCTTCACACCTATCTTGTTGCCAGAAAAAAGGGGAAAAGCCTATTATCAGGTTTTCTTTTTTCATTCAGGAAAGCATCGCAGAGTCTCGTTGCCTTTTCGGAAGGTTCCATGGTGGCAAATTTCGTCTTACTTATCCCTGAAAGTCTCATCGGGTTTCAAGATATATTTGTAGAAAATGTCCAAATTGATTGGGGATTATTGGCCAACTCCTTGTTTTAATGAGTACTGGCTTCTTTATGCGTGGGAAGAAACCGGAGTGGCCGGAGAAAATCCGCGGGGCATTCAATTAAAAAAAACTCATGTTAGCACAGGCATACAGATCGGGGACTCACTTGCTGTACCGCCAATTCTTGGCCACTTAAAAAAAACACAAACCCAGAGGAATTTGGGGGGCCTCATACATGGCACCTCCTTGATCTCAGAAGGAGTTGATGATGAGGTGTATGTATGTACGTACGAATGTCGAAACTTCTTTCGCACCGTAAGTTAGCAAGCCGTGCTAATTGGAGGTGCCAGGACTGGTAATGATGACCTCATCATCTTGCCAGATTGGGTGGCCCTCGTTTTTGAATCAGTTTCAAAAATTTAACCAGACGTGCGTGTACACATTGATATTTCGTGCAGCCAATTAGTCAAGGTTTAACGTGTTAATTAAATTAGCACTGGCAAGGCTAATTACGGATTGAAAAAAAATATGATTATAATCAAAGGCAGCAATCACATTTACCTAATTATCTAAATTACCCGCAGATGTTAATACGAGGATTTATATTCAGGCGTGTGTGGATTAATGACAACAGAGATCTTGCTGGTTGCATTAAATGCATAGAGAATATCTAATTGAACGCACGTGCCACTAAATTATTTAACCGCGAATTAATTTATTCAAAACTTATCGTTATTTTTTTGTTATCTCAATACGGTATTTAAGAATGTATTTCCCATACTAATTTACGCTGATTGATCATTTGGTGGTTGGGTGTCGCCTGCTTTTCAGTTGGCTTTAGTGTCACACTGCACAGGAGGTGGTGGGGGTGTAGGTTCACTGTGAGTTGGGGCCGTATTGAGTACACGGACTCCTCTACTTACAAACGAGTTAGATTCCAGAGGTCTGTTCGTTATTCAAATGTGTATAAGTGAAGGAGATACCGTGCACACACTCCTCTACTTACGAACATTTAATTGTAAACTGACTCCTCTACTTACGAACGTTCGACGTATGAACTTTCAGAGATACGAACAAACCTGTCCGTATGTCCAGTTGCCTGTTCTGACCGAGAATCGTAAGTTCAACCGCTGGTGGCATATACATCTGCAGAACATGATGAATCAGTGGCATCTACAGGAGTATTATACAACTTTTAAAGCTATTCCTCGTGTTTAGTGTGCACGCCGTACAACATGTTTAGAATCGACAGGCGTAAAGTTGGACTTACGAACAGATCGACTTACGAACAGACGTCTGGAGGGGTATCTGTATTTGTAAGCGAGCAAGCACAATACTCAGAGTGATGTAGAACTTTGCGGGCGGCTTAATTTGCTCGATGCACGATGAGAGTTGTAGTTATGGAAGAAGGTTTTCCGTTGCCATGCAGTGTTAGGTTTGAGCGTTAGGGTGGCAGGGCCGCATAGCGGTTATGGTTGTGCCTCACAGCTAAGAAGGACCCAAGGGTTCAATACCCGAATTGGGCGCCTTTCTAAGCATTTGGTTGTTTTTTGTATATTCTCTCTCTCTCCCCGTTCTGCATGGGATTTCCTCCCGGTTGACCAGTTTTCTCACATGGCACAAACAAATCGCGTGCACATTGTAACCGGTATTGGCCAAATATCCCAAAGCTGAAAAAATGGCATTCCAAATTACTCATTTGGAACAACGCGCAGACAGCAAGCATCATTGCCCCCTCATGCAAAAACGTTGCAGGACCTCTCCTTGGAAGAGAGACGTGAGGCGTTCCTCGGTAAACAAGTGAAATAACGGTAACAACATCAGTGACCGGGCCATTTAGAAACATGCATTGAGATGATTTCGGTGCCATAAATATCCAAATGATGGGCCACTTTATTGAGCCATCATTTGTGGCCAGGTCGCTTCTGAAAAATAAGTCAACACGTAAGTGGGCTTTGCCTGGTGGGATGGAGATGGTTTAGTGTTGTATTTGTATGTGTATTTGTACGTGTATTTGTTCGTGTATTTGTATGTGTATTTCTACGTGTATTTCTACGTGTATTTCTACGTGTATTTGTACGTGTATTTGTATGTTTATTTGATGTGTATTTGTATGTGTATTTGTATGTGTATTTGTACGTGTATTTGTACGTGTATTTGTATGTGTATTTGTATGTGTATTTGTATGTGTATTTCTACGTGTATTTGTACGTGTATTTGTACTGTATTTGTATGTGTATTTGTACGTGTATTTGTACGTGTATTTTTATGTGTATTTGTATGTGTATTTGTATGTGTTTGGGTGATTTGTTCACCCTTCTTGTACTCTTGCGCTATCATGTTATTGTACTGTTTGTTGTTGTAACGTTTTAGCCCGCTCTGACATCTGTGGAAAAGAGCTTTATAGCTCATCAGATTCCTTCAGAATAAATATATTATGATTCTGATCATGCGTTCACATAATCAACGTCCAGGCTTCTCATTCTTTGGGTGCCGATATTCAAATATTTGGGGGGGGGGGGGTTGTATGTTTGTAGCTGCCAGCGTAGACTCCCGTCATATTCATTACGAATGTAAGCTTCCCAGCCCTTTTAGAACAGCAACGTATCTGGCAACAGCGAAGCCACTCCGTGGCAGGTGCGTGTCAACAGCAGCACCATGTGACAGACGCTCCCAAGACATCGTTGGCGT